GTTCTCCCACGATACAAGGGAAATTTTTTATAACATTCTTAATTCTTCGGAGAGAAACAGATTGCTTATGTATAGAATTCATTTAATAGATATTACAGAATATTATATGCGAAATTCAATTCAATATCTAGATGGCTACTTCAAGTATCATTTTACTGAACATGTTTCGGCTAGGTAGTTTATTAAATATTTGATGAATATCTTATTCCAAGTTTCTATAAAATATTGATATAGTGCACCTTTTCAGGTATGATTTCGTAGGATACCATAGGTGGTGCACGGTCAATTTTTTCGATGAAGTAATTAACTTTTAAATGTAGCAGCGAGATTCATGGATTTCTGATGGCTATCCACCGGAATGATGTCACTTTCTGCTGTAAAACTTGAAAAAATACTAGTTACTTGAAAGCAAGAATCCGATGATCGGATTTCTGCTGTTATGTTCTTATCATTTCCTGTATTTTCACGCCGGAATGGGCCCGTATTTCTTGATCTGTTAATTGTAATGTGTCATGAGTAAAAGAGAGAAATAAAAACTTTTTCTAACATTAATAAAACAATAATAAATATCTCTATCTATATGAAACTAATAGGAACTAAAATATGATAATTTATAACTAAATCTATCCTTATTATAATTCATACCAATAGTTTTTTTACGAATTTCATTATCAAGTGCTTCATCTTTGGCTTTCCATTCTTGACTTGGTATTGGTGCATTTTTAAATGCAATTATTACCAAACTCATATTATCTTTGCTACCCTAAAAGAAAATAGTAATGGCGAATTATTTAAATAAAATGAAGAAAAAAAAACAAAATAAGATATAAACAAACTTTATATAAACACATATCAAGTATTGAATTAGCTATTTCACAAAGATCATCTGTTACACGCATACGACCAAGTATATAAGCAGCTAATTCTTCATTTGTAATTACATCCCATATACCATCACAAGCAAGTACAATAAAAGCAATTTGTTCATCTTGTTTTGTTTGACGTGTATAATAAGTTATTTCAGGTTCTGGTGAAACTAATTGTTGATCTGGTCGACGATTTGAATTATTTTTATATTCAAAATCACCAAGAGCACGTGATACAGCTAATGAACCATTTACTCTTTGAATAAGTACAGTACCACCGGCTTCTTGAATTCGTTGACGTTCAGCTTGATCACCTATATTTAAAGAATAGACATACAAAAAAACAACGTTTTGTTTTTTGTTCTTTACTTGGTTTATGATCCTTTGTAGCAAGAAGAATTCGACCATCAGTCGATACAAGAATAGCTCGTGAATCACCAACATTAAGAAAATAAACTCGTTCAGGATCAATTAAACAAGATATAGCTGTTGAACCACTTTTATCATCTAAATAATACAATATCATTTATTCACAGTTGAATATTTTAATTCAACTTTAACAAAAGAACCTGGATTATTACTACGATTTTCTTCTCTCCATTCATTATCAAATTTAAAATATGCATCTTTTATAGCCATTTCAAATTTATTCGAATCAAGTTGTGGTGATGTTATATGTTGCGATGATTTTAAATTTCCATTTTCTTGTACTAATCCATTAAGACATGAAATTATACGTAAATGTAGTTTTTCAGCTGATTTAACTGCTGTACGAAATCCTGCATGACCATCAAATATACCAAAATATGACCAATGTGACCAACGATTGTCATCTAATTTAAGAACTGCTGTATGTGCATCTTCCATATCCACACTAAATGAATTTAAATGATCGTTAAACAATAAAAAACAAAGAAAAACAAATTTACCGCCATCCTTGCATAGATCCAAGACCATAACGAAGATCATCATTTTTACCACTAATATTATGTTTTTCAGTTTTAGGTTTTTCCAAAAATTGACCCATCGATCTATATGAATATAGTAAAGAATATTAAAATGAATTCTCAGATATGAATCATATGAAATAACATGAGTAATAAAGTTCCTTTTTCTGTATAAAAGTTACTAATTCACAAAAAAAAAAGAACAAAGAAATAATCATGAGTGGGAAAAATGCAAGTGATTGATATAATAAAGTTATATATCACATAGTCAAATCTATTATCTTTTGTTTTTGTATTTCAATATCATTCAATTCACCTACCGAAAGGTTGACAAAGATGACTGAAAAGAATCTCTATTAATTGCCGAAGACATACAAGCAGGAAGACGAAAAATCTGTCGAAATCGTGACCAACTATCTTCTGTAGGTAATGTTGTATTTGATATACAATTCGATCGATCACGTGTTACAATTGGTGTATCTGTTTTTCGAAATAATGATTCAAACCACAATGATGATGATGATGTTTCATTATTCTCTGACGATGATGATGATGATGACTCCGACATCTCTTTCGTTTTTTTTTTTTGTTTTTAAATATTTCTAACTGTTTATATCACAAGTGGTCATGTAACTCACGTGTCTTCTAGGAATTTTTGTTTTTGTTCTCTCAATCCCATATATAATATAAAGAAAAGAATTTTTACTATTTACAATGATTATATTCTTTTCTTTTTCGAATTAAATAATGCAAAGAAGATAAAAGCAAAAACAAGAAAAGAAACAAGGGAACATATCTAATGTTATATAAGTAATAAAGGTACACACCTGTGTGTTTACTGTGACAAGACACACACACCCACACAATCACAAATATAAGTTAAAAATTTTCTTGATTTAATCGTGATCGATCAATATTCTAAAAATAATAAAATGATAAATTTTATTCAAAAAAAAAAAAAAAAAACAAATTATCTTACATATCAGAAGAAAACATTCGTTTGAGATAAAAACCAAAAAAGCATAATTTAATTCTAAAATTAAACAAAAACAATGAACTAGAATTATTATATAAATAACAACAAAAAGAAAAAAAATTCAATCTCCGACTTACATATTATTTATATTAAGATGTTCATCGAATCGAAGAAACATAATCAATGTTTCTTCAATAATTAAATTCGTTACATAAATATTAAAACGCGCGATATTATAAAACGAAATTTCCTTAATGATAACATATCCGGGATTAAAGTTACTTGACATACAGAATTTTTGCGGTTGAAAATATCGTTCTATTACTTTATAAAGTTTTGTTTTTTTTTGTCCGTTTCATTTTTCATACAGGGCAATTCAATATTACTGACATTCTTACTTCAAGATTGAATAATTTCGTTTGAAAGTTATTTTTATATTCAATCGGATAGAGTATTGTCTGTTTAAACACATGAACTCATCTATTAAGTCATGGTAACCTTTTATAGTAACGGCTTTAGGAGAGAAAAAAGACACTGTAGGTGATCATTCTTCTCTTCCGAACTATTTTTATTAGCAGAAAATGCTCAGAAATAAACTGACATAGAGAATTGTGAAGTCAAAATATTTCAACTTCGAAAACTTTTCTTCCTATAAATTAACGACAGTTTACTTGTTCAGAGATATTATGTAATTCAAGATTAATAGACTATCACGAATCATATCTGATTTGAGAGTATTGTGAGCGAATACACAGCAGAGTAAGAGATTCTAAATTTAAGAAGAAAATAAGATAATTGTATTAAATTAGTATTATAAAAAAAAACCCACAAAATACACTTGAACTCTGAGATAATTTCTACCAACTCCAACGGAGTTCAGAGTCTCGTGCCGATCTCTATTTCAAAACACGGTTTATAACTATGATCACCTTCCTTACCTAAAACTTTAGATCTAACATTGATCCTTTGTACATTTCTTGATATTAAGTCTACTTTTACAATCTATGCTTTTTTTCCATTTGATGTCATATATTTTTTGGGTAAAAGTACAAGCAAATAAATCATAGAAGCTATTGTTTCAAAAAAGCAAAAAGTGAAATCCTACTAAAACATTCATAAGCAAAGAAAAACAAATGTTTAATTGGATTATCCAGAGTTCTCAACATCACCTATAGAAGAAATTTATTCTTCCGATTTATAAATCTTATTCGATCTACCCGAAATATTTGTAAAAAAAAAAAAGAAAAAAATATATTCACTAGTTTGTATAATTTCTAATAGTTTGACAAATTTTTAACATTATACATTCATTTAATCCTTTCGAAAGAGAAAAAAAAGGGAATATTCTAAACAAGAAAAAATTGATTATGACATCATAAAAATAAAATTATTTACAATAACAAAAACAAAAAAAAAAGAAAAATAAAGGTTTAAATTATTTATTAAAGAGAAAGAAAAGAAGAAAAAAAAACGAAAAAGAAAAATTTATTCTAACCAGTGAAGCATAAAATCTTTGTAAGCATACATGAAAAGGAAGGATGATGGGACGGTGTGTTCAAAAATGATCTCTTTTTCCTTTTTTCTTTTGTTTTTTCTCTGTCTTTTCTCTATTTGATCATCGTCATCACCATTGACGATGCAAATGCATTCTCTATTCTGACGAGTAGATTTTTTTATTGGATAATATTCGGATCAATTCAACTAAAGAATAGATGTCGATATAAAAATTGTAATCGAGTTTGACTTTTTTTTCGTTTGTGCTTATCGGTTATATTTTTTTGATCCGTTCCTTCCTTCGACCGTATTTATGATGAGAAAATTTTAAGTACGAGGACTAAACAAATAGTCGATAACTAACATAAAAATATTTAATGAAGAAACGAAAAAGAAAAATCCAGGTGATAAGAATAAGAATGAATAGATTTTTTTATTGTTTATGTAGATTTATGATTTAATTTGAATATTTTGAACAAACATTTGATAAATATCTGCATATACTCAACTGATATTAATTCATGTATACAGCATTAATTTGGTAAGAAAGAAATAAAAGTATCGATTTTGTTTCTTTTCATTTTTAATATTCTTTGTGAATAAAAAAAAACGATATCAAAAATATAAATAAAAAAAATAATGATTCGTTTTTTTCAGTTAAGTATTGATGTAACAAAAAAAGAATGTATATATATATTTTCTTTCAGACATTGATCAATGGGTCCATTAAAAGTCGTCCTGTTGACTGAATCTAATTCACTCACAGGAAATGAAGCTCTACCATATAAATATTATGGACAAAAATTATGGACAAAGATTCAATCTATTGTTGAAGAACTTCATTATCGATGTGAATCAGTTGATTTACATAAACTCGATTTTCAAGAGCATGAATCAGTTAATAAATTTCTCAATGCTGATATTGTTATTATGGTATTTATAAATCTAATTTGTTGATTCTTTTTTATTTTCTATCTAATTATTATTTTCTAGGATGTTACTAATCAAGATCGACGTCCAACATTTATGTATCATAAAGGTAATCGAGAAAGTATGGATTGTATGGATGATATCGTATTAATACAAGCTAGTGGCGTAGAAAATGATAGTGCTATTCATGATCTCAAAGTAGATAGTTTTGTTTTTTTAATAAAATAAATTTTATTCTGAAAATTTTCTTTATTTTATATATAGACAACATGTAAAATAAAATTATTAATTGTTTATCGATATGATGAAAGTAAAGATGTTTTTTATGATACAACACAATCAACATATCCGTTTCCATTACTTAACACAAATCTTAAGAATTTCTTAGAACGAGCTGCTGATAATATTCAGTATGAAGATTTTAATTGAATAAATAAAATTTTCTATAGATATATATTTATTTTGTATAGAAAAGGACTTGCTGATCGATATATATCTCGTATGAATACACGAAAACTTGAATTACAAGATAGTCAAACTTATCGTGATGTATATTTGAATTCTTTTTTTTAATTTTATCTTTGATTAGAATAATTTTGTTTTTTTTTTAAAGTTTTTATGGAATGAAGTATGTGGTGAAATGTTAAATGAAATAAATCAAGAATATGTAACACCTAAATTAATTACAAAATTAATGTATGCTTTTCGAGATATTCAAGTAAGATTTTATTTTTGATTCCAAAAAAAAAACAATAATAATAATAACTGTTAATTTTAAGGATTATGAATCAATGATAAATTTAAATCAACGTTGTGAACAATTGGGAGAAATAGCGAAAAAAATCAAAAATAATATGATGATTTCATATTTAACTGCATTTGCTCGTAGTCGGTAAAATATAATAGTTTTTTTTTTTTTTTTTATTAATTTTTAAATATAAATCTCTAATTATTTTTATAGACGAAATCAACCTGGTGATCGTGATGAAGCATTAAATATTCTTGAACATTTATGTCAAACAAAAAAAACTGAAAGTGAATTATCAAATGATGTTATTTGTTTATGTGGAAGAATTTATAAAGATAAATTTACTGAATCATTTTGTCAAGATCAAGATTCTTTAGAAAAAGCTATTGAATGGTATAGAAGAGGTTTTGCTGCTGATCCAAATATATAGTAAGATAAAAACTAAAAATTTATTTTTTTTTTTATTAATTAAATTATGAAAATTTATAGTGCTGGTATTAATTTATTATTTCTATTAGCAATTAAAATTGAAGATTTAAAAAAGAATAATGAAGTATATAGAATTAGTAAGTTATTTTGTATTATCAAATTTTGATTTATTGAAAAAGACTATTATGTGTCAATTTGTAGAATACTTCATAATGACATGAAATTATCTCTGAAGTTCATCTTTGAAAATTGATCTTGAGTTCGGGATATTCAAATTGCATGAAATTTTTAGAATATATTTGGTCTATAATAGAGAGACTATGGTAAAATTTTCAGCTCTATACCATAACATTTTCAGAAGACATTAAGCAAACAAAGGTAAAAAAAAATAGCTCGTTTAGTAACACAAATTTGCTTGGGGTACTATTATTCTATAGATTTAATTGTTTTTTTGCTATTTAAAAAAAGTATGTCAGAGGGCAGTGCTCTTGTTTTTTTTTAAACTCTTATTTTTTATGTGAAGAAAGAAAATGACAAGTTTAATATGTTAAAAAGCTCTCAGAAAATGATCACCCATTTATAGAAGTACTTTTTTTATATAACAATAATAAAAAAATTATTTCAAAGAAAAAAACTGATGTTGTAGCTTCATATGTTCATTCAAAAACTCAATTAACTATAAAGAAGCTCCTTTCGAGAATTCTGGAATGGGCGATTAGAACAGATTTACTGGTTTCTATGAAACAAAAAAGAAACATACTTTTCAAGTAGATGACGGAAATCATCAAAAATTTTAGCTAAAATAACGAAATATCAAATAAAAAAAATAATGTCATTTATGAAAGATCGAACTTTGAGTTGTGTTTCTTTTTTTGAGGGGCAAAAGTCTTAACATATTGCTATCGTTTTTCGAAGAATAACGTTGTATACAATAAGAATTCATAATAAAATAGATAAAAAGCTTCTGTAAAGAGTTTTTATCATTTCATATGTAATAACAGTAGTATTATTCACTCTCAACTAACATATTAAGTCTAATATTAACTTGTCGAAAACATATAATATTTGTAAATTCTTTTTCTTCATCTTAAAAAAAATTTATTGAAAGATAAGAAATTCGACACGTTATCGTCTTTAGATAAGATATTACTAACAATAATGATTATTTTAATATATAAACTTTATCAGATAACGAATCTAAAAGAAGAGATTGATTTTAGAAGTTGATTATTCTACATTATGATACATATAGTTTTCTAGATTAAATAAAAGATAAATTTTCAAAATAATAATATTTACTTTTTTTTTTTTTCTTAGTTATTCAACTCAATGCATTACTTGGTAAAAAAGGTCGTTCACTTCGAGATTTAACAGATTATTGGGATGTAGCAACATATTTTGAACTTCATGCTGTTCAACGTGATTGGTCAAAAGCATGTTTAGCTGCATTACATATGTATTTATTAAATCCTCCAATATGGTATTTAAAATCAACAATAAATAATTTAAAAATTCTTCATCAAGCAACACGTATGCGTGATCAACAAAAACTTCGAACACAACATTCAACTAGTTCCGATGATGAAGTTGTTTATAGTTTTTGGATAGATTTTTTTAGTGATGCAATTAATTCAAATTCAACATCACCTGAAGAAAGAGAATTACCAGCACAAGTACCTGTAAGTATTAAAAATACAAAAAAAAAAAAAGAAAAAATTTTTTTTTTTTTTTTTAAAGATTCTTGTTTGTGATAATTATGAAAAAAATGATGGAACAATATTAAAAAATGTTTATGTTGAATCACATTTACAATTAAATTTTCATACTGGTAGTGAACCAGAAACACTTGTTATACGTACACTTGAAAAACAAAAACAATTACAAAAAGATGAAAGTGTAAGAACAATTGAAATGAATTCAATTAGATCAATTATGTATGATATTTATTTTTAATATATTAAAAAATTATTGTTAATAGATAAACATTTGTTTTTTTTTTCAGAAATGTTAAACGAGATAATCGATCTGTTTTTCTTTATGCATATGAAAATGCTGAAGCATTTTTATCTGTTGAACTTCAAATATTTTTTGCATCAGCTGAACGTCGTACAGCGTAAGTAGAATACTCGCTATCAGGTAAAAAGTACATAAACTTCAACCCTATTGACTAATATTTTGAGCTCGGTCAATTCTTATCGCAAGCGACAACTCAAGATCGATAGGCTTTAATGCAAAAAAAGGAAATCGATTTTTTTCTTAGGATCCCAAAAAAAACTTTTGTGACAGTTAGTCTGATTTTCAATTCTCATATATAGATTACCCAAAGAAGACGTCAAACTAAAATCGTTGGACATGAAATTTTTCAGCACTGAGCTGTCCTAACGTCATGAGATTTATTTTCTATGTGGAGATTCTCCTCGTCTGAAGACCAAAATCTATATTGATCTTTTAGTTCCTCCGCATGAAGATCGATCAAATGCTTGCGATCAGAGTTTAACATGCTCTATTTGTAGTTAAATTCGAAGACTAAAGGATTAAAATTAAAGTACTTTTTACCTGATAGCAGAATTTTTTGTGACTATTAAATGAAAAGAAAATAAATAATTTTAAAATATAGATTCAATGAAAAAATGTCAAAATATCGATTACAAACAAGTATTTCTGAAGCTGAACCAAAATTTGATGTAAGTGATTAAGATTAATTCATAACAAATGATCATATATATATGTTCTGAATAAATTTAATTAGTAATTTCTAATTTCCGAACAACAAACTAGAGAAACAATGTATCGGAAATTACACAAAACAAGAAAAAAAAATGATTAAAGTTATTTCCTTTTTTCTTTCATTCGAATAGAAAAAGTTGCTACGAACGATTAATTATTTGCTTGAGAGATTTCATGGATTACGCAGATTATCTTTTTTAGACTTTGTTTCTGAAGTTTTCTATCATAATAATTGATAATAATACATAATCACAAAACCAAAGTTAAATTTTTTTTCTCAATTCGAATGAAAGACATTCATATTAGAATGACCGAAGATAAACTTTAGGTTCGAGCGCTGGTGTGACTGAAGATATTACTAACACCCACTTCACTGTATACACAGAGAAGAACATGAATCACAGCTCTTCAGAGGGTTCTCACACCGTGATGCTGATCTAAAGGTCGGGTTAACTGATTCTCTTCTGAAGAATATTGATTTCTATGTCTTTCAGAGTATATTTTGATGTATAATGAATTAGATCAAGTCCGTTAGAGAACGAATAGATCTATCATTCATAGATAAATTTTGTTTCTATATGAATAAAAATTATAAGAAGAAAATACAATTTTTTGAAAAAAATATTTTTTTAGCTTGTTTTTGATCGTGATCCACATGAACAACGTACTGCACTTGGTCAAGGTACATATGGAAAAGTTTATGTTGCACATGATCGTTATACAATGAAGAAATTTGCTGTCAAAGAAATTCCTATGAGAAATCCAGTATATACAGATGTATTAGAAAATGAAATCAAAATTTTATCAACACTTAGTCATAAAAACAGTTTGTTTAGTTTTTTTTTTTGTTTTGTTTTTATATGAAATAAACAATTTCTTCTTTTTATTTTTTCTATCAAGTTGTAACTTATTATGGTTCAGCAATCGATCGCTCAAAAAAACAACCTTTCTTTCAAATTATTATGGAATATGTTGATGGGTTAATTAATAAAAAAAAATTCTTTGAAATATTGTTGATTTTTGTTGATATTCTAGTGGTAGTCTTTCACAACATCTTTCAAAATTTGGACAATTTCAAGAGCCAGTTATTAGAAATTATACTCGACAACTTTTAGAAGGTTTACAATATTTACATGAAAATCATATTTTACATCGAGATATTAAATCAGCTAATATTCTTGTTAATTCAAGAGGGTAAAATTTTGCAAAATATTTTTCTCTTTCTATAAAATAATTGGTTATTTAATTTTTGAAGAGAAATAAAAATTGCTGATTTTGGTACATCAAAACGTCTTGCTGGTCTTCAACTTTGTACAGAAGATAGTGTTGGTAAGAGATTTTTTTCTCTTTTTTGATATTCTGAAGAATGATTTTTTATAATTAGGTACTCTTCAATATATGAGTCCTGATGTTGTACTTGTACCTCCAATGGGTTATGGACCTGAAGTAAGACATTAAATAAAATATCCAATTCTAATAATTTTTATTTAGGTTGATATCTGGAGTGTTGGATGTACAGTTATTGAAATGGCAACGGGTAAAATGCCATTTCATAAAAGTAAATAATAAATAGATTTTTTTTCTTCTATTGATAAACATTTTTGTTTTTATTAGTTGTTAATACGGGTGCATTATTATTGAAACTTGGTAATGAACGACAACCACCAGATATTCCACAAGAATTATCAGACACAGCAAAAGATTTTCTAGCCAAGTAAATAGATCTATGATGTTTTATAATTAAATTTTCATTTTTGATTTTTTTTAGATGTTTTGAACCTACTCAAAAACGTCCATCAGCTAAAGATCTATTAAATCATCCATTTTTTAAGTATGTTTCATTCTTTTTTTTTTTCTTATTTAAAAGAAATTATTTAATCAATCAACATATAAAAAAAATCAATAAACTAAATTTAGAACAAAACCTGTATCATCACGAGAACCTAATGGAAGTATGTTTGATTTGATTCATCTAAATCATAACTATTTATTTAAACTATTTTTCTAGATAGTGGAGAAAAAACACATGATAGGTAACAAATTTTTTTTTAATAAAATATTTATATTATGCAATTTTTCATTGAATTAACTAGTGGAATACATGTATCGAATCCTCCTGAGACGTATCATCGAAGTGTTAGTGAAGAACCAGGTGTACTTGAGTATGAAATAATAATTTTATTTAATCTAATAGAATAAATGAATTCTTTTTCTTTTTTTTTTTGCTTAATTCTAGACCAGCACGCGGTCTTGAAGCACAAATATCAATTGATGATCGTCGTCGATCAGAATTAATGCATATTTTACGAGATAATGATAGTAGAGAAGATGTATAAAATATATTTATAAAAATGAAAAATAATTTTAATTGATTTGAATTTTTTTTCTTCTATTGTTTTAGCTTCTTGGTCAATGGATGGATTTAATCGATGAAAAAAATGAAACAGAAGTTTTGACAATTGTAATATTTTTGTTTCATATCAATAAAAAAATTTCAAAAATAAATGATCTATATTTAGGATAAATTACGAATATTATTATTAGGTATTTGTGAATATTTAGAAGATTCAAATGAACGTTCATTACAAAATGCACTTGGTATAGAAAATAAATTTTTATTTTATTTTTTTTTTAATCTTTATTTAAATGAATTATTCTAGATCAAATATGTGATAAATCAGAATTGGATAGTGATTCAAGAACTGATCTTGAACGAGCATGTTATCTATTCATTAAAGCCGTATGTTTAAGTTTGTTTCTTTTGAGAAAAAAAAGTTGTTAGTGCAAAATGATATAACTGCTATTGCTAATCTTTTACTTCTAATACACAATAAGAAAGTAGTTTAAAATATTAGAACAAAACGTTATTGATATACGGTCTGTCATGGTCCTTGACAAAGGTCAAAACATGGAGAATATTTTGTTTCCCCACTTCGCTCCGACCTTGATTTTTTTCTTCAGTGTGTTGTCACCGTCTTTATAAGATGCTTTGTATCTTTTGATCATATGATTTATTTGACTACATTTTGCAAAAAACGATAACGTTCGAAATCAATCAATCTTTTACTTTGTTATTCTTTATCGAACGGAAGAAATAAAATATTATGAACAGTTGTGGGACCTAAATGAGATCTTCTTTGATTGACAACTCTCTTTCGATAGTAGTCGAACTGCATCGTATTGAGTATATGCGACATGTTAATTAATCTCGCTCTGCCTCTGGTCTGTAAGGTATTTTCAAGAAACGAGATCTTAATAAATCGACATCAAGGTTGTTGGGATACTCCAGAGGGTGAAAAAATTGGCGTTTTTTTGATCAGATCTTTTCTAATTTTGAGTGCTAACGATTATGATTGATTGTTT